ACTTGACAACATAAGCCTGGTCATATCCTGTCTTTGTGCTCCACAACCTCACCTTTAAAGGGGCATTATGTAGTTTTCAGCGGCCACTAGCGGTGCGGTTTTAAGATTGCAACCAGGTGTGTGCTCGCTTGAACTCTTGAGCGAACATAATCCAAAACACAACTGCTTTCATACAGAAATCCTGCAATAAACGCAGAAACACCGCGTGCAGGCTGTGTCTTTTCACACAGACATGTTCAGGCTGTGTTACTTCAACGTTCCCGGCTCAGAGGCAGCTCAACACTGGCTCTGTACCTTTCATTCAGTGCAGTGAAATGCATCTTGGCACAACACTCCCGAAAATAGGCAGAGTGTTATAGACAGACAGGGAGACAGCTTCACATAACATGCTGGAGGCACAGGTAAACTCCCACTGCAATGTTACCGTAACATTTTTAACAGCTTGAGGTTGAACTAATGCTCGTTACCATGCTCGTTACATGATAATTGTACATTTACTGCATTTAGCCAACATGCTACATCGTCGTTAGCTCGGCTGCTGATTTTCAGTAACTAGTTTACTATCTGTATCTTTCACCTGTGGCTCAGCTATGTCAGCACAGCTAAATGTATTGGATGATAAGGAAACGGTTAGTGAGCTGTACTGAATATTATAATGAGATTGTTGTCACACTTTATAACAGTTAAACTGCAGTAACTTTACTGTAGTGATATTGTATGGCTCTTCCTCTGTGTTGTTGTTGCCGTTTTGTTGCAGTGTTTTATATTATGTGGGTCTTGTTAGTTACAGCAACTGAGAGGTGGAGAAGCTGTGTACCTGAGTATCGGTAAAACCACAATAAATCTAAATTGAACATTACGAAGCAAACAGCGGCAGGCCCGAGCTAATGTAGTGTTAGCTGGCTGCCCTGCCTGCATCACTTTAGGCTAGTAAACAAATCGCTCCACATTTGCTTTTTACAGTTGCATCAATCCTTGCAGGCTAGATCAACACTTTGACATAATACCAGTGGTACACAGGATAGTAATATGGGTTGTGTTAGTTGGTGAAGTAATGTGGAAATGTCATGGTTATGGCTGAGTGCAGAAATGGGAAAACTTGGGTGCGGACCCAAACACAGACCTTGCAAGGAGGATGCAGTTCAAAATTTAATTTATTTAAACAAACAAAACAGGCTTACATTCAGGCACAGGGCAAAAGTCCAAACACAGGTAAATCAAAATGAACAAAACCCTAAGGGTACAGGGAATCCAAGAAACCAGGGAAAAGAGCTTAGGCAGAAACACTCAACAAACAACAAGGACACCACATAGACAAAACTGAGGGTTTAAATGCACAGGCAAACGATCAGAGAGGGAGTGCACAGGTGAGACTCATGAGGAACTAATTAGGCAGGCAGACAGACAATGAAACAGGGCAGAGTGAAACAGGAAAGTGTAGAAACCAGACAGACCATGAAACCAAAACGGAATCAACCAGAATACAGAATAAACCAAAAACACAAGCAGACAGATCCATAGGCAAGAGTACAAAAGTAGAGGTTATAAACTGAATATTGAATGAACAAGACTAAAATAAACTAACAGAACAAGAACAAAGCTAGATGAGAACACCAGACATTGATGATAACAAAATAAAACAGGAAGTAAAGCATACAACAATGCTCAAGGATGGACAAGACATAAATAAGTAAGGACAAGGAACACGAGAAACAGAGGCAAATAGAAAGACACATGAAACAATGGCAAAACCAGAAACACACAGGGAAAAATACAACTCATAACCCAAAACAACACTTCGATACAATTTTGCACCGGATAACGTTAGTAACTGCTCGGTGTTAGCCAGCGAGCTAACGTGACTCTCTCCGTGTTTTTCCAGCTTTTGTCATGTTCACTAGTAATGTGAGGATCGATCCTAAAGTATCGATATTTCTGATACCAACGTTTCCTGCTGTAGGATCGATACTCATATAAAAGGATTGATATCTAAACTCAGTAATTTGGAGTGAGTGTGTGTTTTATCATAAGTATCTTACTGTCACCAGGATGGTCTAATTATAGGCTACTAGGTTGATAGGAACTACTTTTCCTTCCACTTCTTTAAAGTGAGCTGCTGCAGCCCTTTACATTTCCCGCGATTGAATACTGACTTCGCTAAACATCTGAGATTAAATAAAAATAATCTGATGATGTTATGAAGCCGCAGTTCTGAGCAGGATATTTTTATTATAATTAAAGAATATGACAGTAGTTTGATGTCTTGTCATTATGCAGCTATTATTTTGAATTGGTAAGGCTATAGTCTACTCCTTATTTCTCTCATAAATACAGAAACGGGAGGGGGGAGGTCACATTAAACTAGAAATAAAATATGTAAAAAGTATTGGTATCAGGACCGGCAATACCAGCCTGGGTATTACTTGGTATTGGATCGGATAGGAATTAAGTGGTATCGCACATCACTAATGTTCACTGTGTTTTTACTCATCATCTGAATCTGTTTGGTCTGATGGGCTTCAGCACATAAACCTTTATTGTTGTTTTGTATCCTAACATAGAGTCTGTGTTTTGCTGTGAGCTGGTTGTTTTATGGTGTTAGTGGACTGCATGTCGTTAGCTGCCGTGTCCTCACATTTATAGCAGAATAGTGTCTGATGCAATCAACAGAGAAAACAGACATGTGCTTCATTTCTAAGTGAGTTTTGAGCCCACTGATAATAAGGAAATTAAAATTTTTGTTTATTAATAAGTAATTTCATTGACAAACTACATATAGCCGCTTTAAGAATTTATAACCAGAGCACCTGTGAGAGGAAGGAAAGAGGGAGAAAACGTGTCTCAAACACAGATAAGATGTGATGAGCTTGTAGTGTCTCTCTGCTCTGCTGCACAATATACTAATCCCCAAACACAACAAGGAAATTACAAACTGAAGTATGAGACAATCACTGCAGTTTTAAAGATGCCAGAATACAGATGTATCTGTTCAGCAGTGATGTTGTGTTTCTGTTTATTTTAATTCCCCTTTTCAGAGCAGCTTAAATGTTTAAAATTTCCAGCTTGTTCCGGTACTTTTTTGAATATTGAGAATGACAATATATTCCATGTTTTTATTGCATAATACATTTTAGATGTCTTGAGCATTATTTTATGCACATTTCCCACAATTCAGCCTGAAATATTTGATGTTTTGAACTAAGTATGGCTCCACAGCATTATTAGTAATAACTGCTGGAGCAGCAGGATTCTGGGATTGAAGACGTTGGAGGGATATTATAGTTTCATACAGCCTCCTGAGTTATGTTTTTGTAGTTTTGGCAGGCATTCCTTTCAGTAATAATACTGCAAAAACAAGCCAAGAAACACTCCGAAAATCAGACATACTTTGAACAATCCCCATGTTTGCTAAACAAATATGATACCCATGTCGAAACAAACTGCAGTTTATTTAACAATCCAATCGGGAGCACACAATAGTATCAAGGCTTATCTATAAGCACTCCACTCATGAGGGACAAATGGGCCGTTTAACACCTGTTTCTAATCTAGCACCTGGGAAAAGAAGGAGGTTTTCAAGCCAAAACTGTGTAAGGATGGGCAGGTGATTGACAAATAGGCCGAGATAAAAGAGACGCTGAAGAAACCATGATTTGCAGAGATGCAGAAGGATGAGTGAGATAGATGAGTCTGGGAAGCTAGAATAAGGAATGGAGGTGAAAGAGTGAGTAGGGGGTCATGGGGAAAAAGCCATAGGTTATCACTCAACCACTAAATGAACCATGATGTGTTACAGCCCATGAGATGACTTGTACTGACACTAACCCAAAGTGTTATCTACAAGAACTCTAAAGAGCAGCAGAGGCCCATACCATCTGTGAACATCTTTATCTGCCTCTTTTACACTTTCTGTCTTTGTTTTTCTCTGTTTCTCCGTTTCTCTGTTTCTCTCTCTCTCTCTCTCTCTCTCACACACACACACACACACACACACACACACACACACACACACACACACACACACACACATAACCACATACCTACCAGTGCACACCAGACAGGTGTTGAGAGGTGAAATATGCAAGGAAAGGAGAGAGTTCCAGCTCTGGGCAGTTATCTTTCATGCTAAAATGGCAGCTTACAGTCCAGCTATATATATACTACTACTACTATCTACCACCATCATCTATTGATTATGAAAGAACATTGGAACAGCATTTTATAATGCATTATCTGCAGTTCTGTATTTAAAATCAAAACTTAATGTGTGGCAACTCCTGGGAGGAGAGTGATAAATATTTGGGAAGAAGCATCCAATCCTTTTGGGATTCAGATAAAAAACAGAGGAAGGGGATACCAATTCGTCTATTTTTGATTGTTGTACATTTTGATGTTGTCAATAGCATCTATGCTACTGTAGCTGCTTTTGAGGGTTACATGCAGCACTTCTTGTGCTCACTACCTCCCACAACCTTCACACGTGCGTATTTGGCGTGGTTGTGTTACAGGTTGTGGGCTTCACTCACCTGCAAGCTGCGGTGAGCTGGTCCATCTGGTGGTAGCTGTGAGGGCCTCCTCTCAAACACGCAGGAATGTGGAGGTCAAAGGAGCTGTTGAGTCGGTTTGACCACCTGGACTGAGAAATGACCTGCGGCCAAGTGTGCAAACTTTCTGTCTTTCTCGTCCATGTGTGATCAGAAGCGTGTGTACTGTTCACGGGGTTGTAGTGTAGTTCACTGATTTCGGCAGTAAGGATGTGCAGTGGAGATAAGAACATGTCCCCTTGCATTTAAACCTCATTCTCAAACTCGCAGCTGCTTTGGCCTTCCTTAGCTGCCGTATCATATACACAATTCTGTTAAGATCTGCACTTTCTGTGAGACTTCTGGCTTCCTTTTTCCCCCTGAACTGTAATTCATTATATATGTAAGGCTTTTTTTTAAAGCAGGTAGGACCCATAAAAAGAAAAATAAATTTGCAAAAGAAAAGTCACTTGACAGTTGTGCTGTTTGCTTTGTTTATTAGAGGTATATTGTCAAACATTTTACAAGCTGTTGCTTAAATGTTTCCATTTAGAGAGAAAAATGCAACACTGAAAAACAATTACTAAGCTCAGCAGAGAACACTTTTAAAGCCCCTGTTTGAAAGGCACTAAAGTCCCAGTTTTATTATCAGTCTTCCTTTTTTCTTGACACCTGCAGACACAACTAGCAAAGAAACCTGTTGTTACACACTTCAGTAGCTAAAATACATAGAGCTTTCAATTGACTTGTTAGTTGAGCTTTTAAAGGCAACACCACTTATGTCTGCTATCATGTGTTGTACACCAAAATGTGTGCAATGATAAGGTGGGAAGTTTAAGTAACACATACTGTTAATTCAATACATTGAACATTTGTATGGATGTAAAGCTACCATAACTTACTTCATGTGGACAGCAGGCTTTCAGTCTGCTGTATGCACTGCTGAGTGCAGGTATCTTAAATACTTTCAAGATTAAATACACCATATTGCTGTTATTTAAATACATAATGTGTCTTTTAAGTTAGAATCGCCATTCAGTGGAATTACGTAGAATCACAAGACAACCCTATCACTTGGATTTTCTTCACGTCTGCAAAAGAAATGTACAAAAAAAGTCTCTCTTTTTTTAAATAATAGTGATAGTAGTACATTCAAACAATAGCATAATAGTTCCTCAGCATTATTGTTGTGGTTTTAAATAGCTTGTGATGTAGGGGTGCTTGTAAGCGACAGTCATTACATCAACGTTCATAAAAAACGGATGCACCCTACTCCTTGGGTCAAATATTGCAGAAACAACACTGTCACACAACGTTTAGATGCCATCGTCGTATTGCTAATGCTGCTGATCATCAGTGAGTCCGTCAGGAAGCTACAGATTTCTGCTCCAGAGCTTAAAATGTATGTCCACGACTGCCTGCGCTGAACACAACTGCTTGTCAGACAATCGCATGAGAGTGAGATGAGTGGCAAACACTGGAATACAGAATAGACATGCTCTGATGTTAAAGAACTGGCTTCTCATGTGAGGGCCCCTCAGTGTGCACAGTTGCGTCATCGCTAAATGGGAAAACGTGAAAAGTAATTCCTGGCAGTTTTCTTGTGTTGACCACATTTCTGCTTGCATGTCTTCCTCTTTCTTATTGTTTAATCATTTATCCTGCCTGTGTCTGTTTCTCTTACTATTTTTCTTTCTCTATGTCTTTTTTCCTGCTCCTGATAATGATGATTTAGCTGCTGTATACATTCCCTTATCTCCCCCCTCTCCGCTCATCCTTCTTATGCTGCTACATTTGTCTGTATCAGTCTTTATGTCTGTTTGCAGTTAGCTAGCTTCTACAGTATCTTCTTCCCACCATCTGCCATTTCATGCTTCTGTCTTTCTCCTATTCCCTCGATGCTCCTTCATCCATGTCTGGCTTTCTCTGCATGAGTGCACTGGCCCACTACCGGCAGCCGCAGCCCTCCACCACCATGTCTTGGTAATTCTTCAGCACCACTCTGTCTTGAGGATCCAGGTAGAGCAGGGCAATGGGGCTGAGGGAGGTGGGGACGCAACAGGCTCGGGGTACTGCTCCATTCACTGAGTTTACCAGAGTTTGCACCATGGCGTGGCTAGAGGAGTTCATGTGGTCGGCCAGAGGAAAGCGACACTCTCCCAGGCAGAAGAAGGCGTCGTAGCCGCTGGGTGCAATGATCCACTTGTGCCAGCCCACATCGTTGAAATCTACATATAGAGGATGACGGCGACATCTGTTGCGGGAAAGGCGTTTCAGTTTCGCAGCACGGCCATTATTTCTTTTCACTCTTCCACTTTCACTCCAGTTGAGCCCACCTTTATCACCCCCCCAGCCTGGCGCTGTATACCCCATTTTTTTGGCCCTCCCCCAGGCTTGGTCTCTATTGCGGCCCTTGCTGCTGCTCCTGGCCCTCTCTATTGTCCCTTTTCTCCCTCTCATCCTCTGGCCACCACCGGGGGTCCTCCTGCCATGTTTGACTAAAGGCTCTCCACGCCCGTCATGACTGTAAGTCACCAAGAGGGGTCTCTCCTGAGCCCAGCTGTGCTCATCCTGACCCACGGACCTGCGCACCCTCAGGTGTTCTTCTTTGTGTTTCTCTTCCTGTTCAGGGAGTGAGGTGGTGCTGTTCTCAGGTCTGACTTCCAGGAGGAAGCCAAGGCTGCCAGTCCCAGCAAAGGCCTGATGGAGGAGCTCTGTATTTAGGCTAAAAGCCTCCCAGAAACCACTTGCTTTATGACTGTGGAGGCCAGTGGTGAGTAACCTTGTCTCCAGCAGAGTGGGCTCAGGGTCCTCATGGTGCTCAGAGAGGTATAGGTTTAGTCTGTGGGCTCCTGGGCCCAGGGAGGCTCTTTCACTGCGGAGGAGACGAAGCTCAGCAGAGAGCACCCTCTCATCCTGAGGGATGGAGGAAATATTGAAGGAGATGTGCACCCTCTTACGATCCTCTGCTATGGGACCGTCTCCAAGGGGCTCTGAGAGAAAGAGGAAGAGAGGCAAGGGTGTACGGGAGTTTAGAGTAGTTTAACTTATTTAGGTGTTATTTACACAGTAATACACAAACAGACACTGGCTATCAGTCAGATATATCTGGAATTATCTCAAAAACAGGAAAAATGCCAAACTGTCTACTACTATCAGCAGATAACTCAAGTTTCCAGCAAAGAAAGCTAACGGGGTAGCTCATGTTGACACTGCAAGTTCCAACCTTTACCCTTAGCTAGGAAATATTTAGTTCCCTTAGTAAACTGAACCACTTCAGGCATTCATTTGTACAAAAGATGTGTATGTATTTCATGTGAATAGACATGCATGGTTGAATGAAGTACTGTACTGCTTTTGTACTTTGGTCTTCTTCAATGTTTGTGAATTATACGTTGTATTTTTTGTATCAGAATCCTGGCTGGAATATAAAATGAGCAACTGCCCCAGGCTCTAGTGCCCCCAAAAGCTTCATGTTTACTGTCAATTAGTTTTGGTATTTTGATTGTAATTGCAAATTCGTTTGAAGAAATCCTCACCACTGAAGTACAAAATCAGCTAATAATAATCAACGTCTGCATCATTATGCTGATTTTGTGGGAATGTAGAGGGAGGCTGTTGTAAATGCCCTCTGTGCTTCTGCGGAAACACCAGGGCATGACCCTCCTGACTAGATTAAGAGACACCAGCAAGCATTCAGTGAATCAAAATCTGCTTCAGGGATCCTGTGTCATATCTAGTTTAAAGAGCTTAATCATTTTAGTTCATGTTGTCTCCACACAATGTATATTCCTAATACAGTGGTGTTCATCAAATTACCACAAAATAAGAAAAGATAAGAAGTATTGTAGAACTGGTTGCACTGGAATTAATGGGAACTTCGAGGCAACTGGGTAACTGCACAGAGGCCAAAGGCAAGGGAAGTTGGGGGATCAGTGGGGGCCCAACAGCAAATTTTTGCCGTGGGGCACACTAACATGTTAATCCACCCATGATCTGAACTGCAGTGCAGTCCAAGACAAAATCCCCTTCACTGTGAGATAAATCTAAGCATGCCCTCTCTGAAAGAAGACTTTAGACCACCTGTCATATCTAAGATTGCACAGATGGAGCTCTTAGTGTTTCTATTGTTAAAGTCATAAATAGGATATTTATACTTCATCTGGGGCTGACCTGATAAAGTATAAAGATCCTACCTGCTTGAAACAAAAGTTCAAAAACTACAATTAAAATATTTTTAGATCCATTAAAATAGGTTGACAGCATGGCATCATGATGTGCCAGTGAGCTTACCATTGTGGTGAAAGCTGCGTACGGTGTTAGCCTGCTGGATGTGATGGCTGGGGAAGCTAAATAAAGGGTCCTCGACTAGATGGTACTGCTGCTGGTGAAAGCGGTAAAGATCCAGGAGGTACCGGGGCACCGGCACTCCAGGCCGTGGGTTGGGCTGTGACTGCAGGCCCAGTCGACTCAGGAGGAGACTTTGGATGGTCTGAGCCAGACTGGGCTTCAGGAGGGAACCAGCCGGTGGGAGAGACAAGGAGGAAGGCATCGGAGACACCCTGTCATGGTCGATCTTACTGGTGTCTTCACCCTGGTGACCAGACGAGGCTTGAGGTAGCAGCAGGACCATGAGGAGCAGGAGGTTAGCAGGGAACATGGTGGACCTGGAGGGATATAGGGAGGTGAGGTGAGATGATGGGAGGACAGGTGTGGTGGAGAAAAGAAGAGCGGAAGAGGTAAATGGAAGAAAGCGTGGACAAAAGCAATCTAAACATTAAGAGACAAACTTGTAAAGGGAAATTGTGCAGCATTGTTCAGTCATTTTTAAATGTTGGGGCTTTGAATTTGAATTTACTTTATATTTTTTGTGCATAATATGAAATTTGTATAAAAGATAGCTCCTGTGAGATGCTCCTGTTGATCTTGTCTTCTCACTACTGGACACGCTAGTTTCTCATTAGTCCTCAGGCTTCGTGCAGCATATGTACAGGAAATTTACTGTCCACATATGCATATGAAGTTGTTTGCTTGTTACTCCTGGCTGTAGAAACATTGCCACTTTGTTTTGTGTCTGTTAATTTATGGAGAGCCGCTTACCCCCAAGGCCCATATATCTCCTAGGACACCTAAGCAAGAGTAATTAGTCAGTCTCCATCTGTAATTTAACCATGCTCTGTGTTTGTGTGTGGAAGAGATCATAGTTCTGTATATGAAAGACATCTAGCATTAATCAAAGGCCGTGGGTTCCAGTGACATGTAATGGAGTTGTAGAGGTCTGTCACAATGACAGATAACAAGATTTTTTTTTCCTTTTCAAATCACTGCAATAAACATTGGATATTAACACAAGTGAGTGAAGAAGACAGATATGTTTTCATTAGAAGCCTAAATAAATGAATTCTTAAATTACAGGCATATTTACTTAAAATTGAGGAGGTTTACCTATAGGTGTCAAATTAGCTTACATTACTGATAGTGAAATCAGTTTTAAATTGAACTGAATTTTGAATTTTGGTTTGTTTACATTTTGTTCTACTGTGTTCAAAAAAATGACATTGCAACAAAGGAGACACCAGAGATTGACAATCTGGTTATCAGTGTTTTGAGCAGAGAAACATTCAATTAATAAAAGAGGGAGAAGATAATGCTGTGCTACGGGCAATCCATCTGCTGCTCAACTAATCAGTGTGTTTTTATTAAAGATAGCTCAAATATGCAGCTTTTGTGGTTTGTATGTTGGGTCCTCTTGAACCTCTGCTGTCGACCTAAAAATCTCTTCTATGTGTTCTTCCAGAGAGAAATATTTGCACCTATGCAAATGAGCTTCCCCCAAGTGTAGTGTTATGAATCCCCTGTCACAATGCTTATTTCCCCTATGAACCACATTCACACCAGCACCTGCTTCATGCTTCAAAATATTTTCATGTTCTGGCTCTGCATGAGTCCTTAATTCTGACCAAAACCCCCACAGATGGGTTAGGGTATGTCGCGCCGTGACTATTCTCAGTGCGGGAACATGACCACAGACGCAATTACCTCTACGACCTGGCTAACACCCTGCACCTCTGTAGTGCAGGTGTTAATAACTGAGCCAATAATTAGAAACCAGCGAGTTATACCAGCCCTCTTGACCTGAAGAGGTTGAGGTGAGGTGTTAAAGGGTCAGAGCAGCTGACAAGATAAACTGAAGTGCAAATAAACTAAAGTGGTACATAAGAGAGTAGAATGGAAGTGAATTATGCACCTATTGCCGCCCTGCTTGACCGGGCAAGAATAAATTATTTTTCAAAAGAAAGTGCACCTGAATTGCTGTCTATCACTTGCTCAAAGAAGAACAGTTTGTAGTTATCTCTTTCCTTGTCCGAGCGCTCACATATCTCTCTCCTCTCTATCTCTTTATCTCATCTCTCTAAGGGACAGAGAATTAAGCCCTGCACAGCGAGATAGCAGAGGTGTTTATGGCTGAGCGAACACATAATGACACTGTAATGACTGCTAATCTTACCACTCTGTCAGAAAAAAGGTGAAAAGGAGGTCACAGGTGTGAAGGTGTGTATATTTTTATGCATGTGTGGTTGCGTATATGTGTGTGTTGTTCATGTGGTAGGCAGTTCAAAGGGCAGGCCTGGGAAAAAAAAGGCACCTCTAAGCGTGGGATTGTTGCTAGCTATCCATTAAACTCTCGCAGCCCCACCCAGGGTTGTTTCACCTGAGGCAACGCAGCAGAGGACAATTACAGATTAGACACTTTGCTGTACAGCCTCTCCCATATACTGTGGAGGCTTGTAAAGCAGTTTAAGGACAACACCACTTCTCCACTGTACCATCCAGGTGACTCTGAGGGTCAAAGGTTCAGTTGTCACACAAAAGGGTGTGTCACAGCAGGCGAGGCAGAGAAAAAACAGAAGAAAAATGAGAAAGAAGTTTCGAGCCAACACCAGCTTGCCCTACATCACTTTGACATACATACAGCCTCTCTGTTCTCCTTGGATGTCTGTGTTGTGACTGGTTCTATCTAATTTAAACCAGACAAAGAGGATCCAGGCCTAATTTAGCATCTTTATGTGTCATGTGCATCACGGTGCCACCCACCCTGATGTCGACTCATTCCAGTTAGCCGGGAAAAACTGACATTTTTATGATTGCCCCCCCACCGCCAGTTCCTGCTTTTATGTGTGGCAGTCCCTGCCAATGTGCTTGTTTTATTCTTTCTCTCTCTGGCATGAATGTGAACCAATCAAATGTTCATGGGGAATAAAGAAGGAGAGCTGTATGATGAATGGGTCAGGGATAAGGTCAGATGAAGGGTTGGAGCTCAGCAGTGCTGTTTGTGCATCCTTTCCCCGTGTGCATGTATGCAGTCATTATGTGACCTGACCTCCCGAGCAAACAGTAGCGTGACCCCAGCGTGAGGCAGACGAGTGTCGACGCCAGCCTGCCCTGTGCCTTTCTGAACTCACTGATTAAAAACCTCTGACATCTGACGTCCGTTTCGGACTCCTGCTTTTGTCATGTTTCTCTCTCTGGCCCTCTTTTTATCTGTTTATTTCAAACCCTGCTCCCTTTCCCCTTCCTCCTTCCTCTTTGCATTCCTTGAACTTTGTCCTTTTGCTTTGTCTTCTACGTTGTCATACAGTATGTAACTGCTTTTCCCTTTTCTGATTCTCTCTTGATTCATCCATCAATTTCCCTCTCTTCCATATTTTCCTGACATTCTCCTCAGTCTCTTGTTCTTTCTTGTTATACATATCTGTTTTTGTGCTTCTCTGCATCACCTTCCCATTCCCTATCTCCCTCTCTCCCTTGCCTATTCTCTCAATAATGTTGCTCTTTTTTTCCTCGGCCACTAAATGAATGGTGTTTTTGCGGAAGAGTGTGGCGGACTGTTGCCGGGCCAGAGGGCCGGAGTGTCACCGCAGCCGTCTGATTTATCCACCGCCGCTGTCTTCATGTTACGCCTGGTCCCTCAGCTTTCCCTTCCTGTTGTTCTTCCCGTGTTTCTTTTCCCAAATTCCTCCTCTCATTTTCGCTGATCTCCCCCCTCCTTCCACCTCTCATTTTCTATGCTGCCGTCTCATTCCTTCAGAACATGATATGTGCAGTGCACATGCCACTGGGTTGATTTCCTTGCTCTAAGCTTACTCAAATACTTAAAAATATGTCATGTCGGATGGCCTCATGAGCCCATATGTGATGTACAGTGTAGAAATATATACCTGAGAACACTTCTGAGGATACATCTGTATTCACTGCCGTTGTTTTTCCACAGCAGCCCTTACACTGTGCCATATAAACTGTGCATTGCACGCCATAGTGTGTATAATTAACTGTGAGGTTATAACTGCACAATACTCCCCATGCTTAACTAGTCATTAATGCACGACTTTGAGCTGTGGCGTTAATATGTAATTTGGGGGGGTGAGAAATGTCCAAACAGTTGCTAGTGGAGTCGTGGTTTTACTCTCTGAGGCGTAACAGATGAAATCATTAGAACAATATTCCAGGTAGGCTGCTGTGTGGTTTTATTGGACTCTATTAGAACAGCTCTCTAATTCATTCCAGCTGGACCGATTAGCTGGCTAATGACCCAGACGTCAAACGTCCGTTTCTGTTACACACACATGTGTCCATGCTAAGAACAGTACAGGGTTTAAAGACACGCTAACTGCCCGGCAGAGTGAGCACCAACATGTAAACAGAAATACACGCCAAGACGTATAACTGTGGAGGAGCTGGGTTGTTAATATGTGGGAAGCAGATTTACACACTCACTCACACACACAGTGTTTTGGCTTTAGTCTCTTTTGTGTGCACTTGAGCAGAGCATCAACAGGTTGCCATGTACTTGTCTCTTTCATCCTTGTGCTCCTTCTTTTCCTCAGTTTATCTCCTCTTTTGTCTCAGCCCCAGATGCCCGGAGGTCTCAGTGTCACAAGTACATTGTGATTAACAGAAGGCCCTGCTGAGGCACAACACCATACAAGCATCAATGGAAATACTGACATATCTCACTGCTGAAAGCTCAGAGACTGCTCTCGTCGTGTGTCTGACAGCTAAACCAATGTGAAATACAGAAGAAAAACACACCTCTGCTTTTCACATTAAAGCTGCTGAGCGTTTACACTGAGGGCCAATTCATACTGTGTATGTTGCAGCAGTAGTGAGTTACGTTATGCTCTTTGAACTCATAATGGGCACATTATTCTCGGACAAGTAGCTCATTGGACAAGATTTTGATTGAGCAACACAGTGTGCCAGCGGCGTATGCATGTGCATGAGTGTGAGTGTGTGTGTGTGTGTGTGTGTGAGTGTTGTTCCCCAGAGTGACTAATGGTTTCAGCAGCACAGTTCCTGTGGCCTGTGGCTTGACAGACAGACAGATGTGTATGTGTTTGTGCTTGAATGGGATGTAGTACTCACGTCCAGGTGTGGTGGGATGTATGCAGAGTCCATGGTTTATCCTTGAGCTCCAGTGTTACGATCCCTCGGCTCTCGCTCCCGCTCCTTTGGACAGAATGGACAAAGTGGACTGTTTGCCTTTTTTCTCTCTCTTGTCTTCTCTCTCTCTTTTTTTTTTTTTTTACCTCTCTCAAAGTAACCAGTGCCTGTCTCTCCTGTGTCTGCTGTGTAAATTGACTGTAGTTAATGCTGCTCCCTCCATGTTTTACTCCCCTCTCTCTGCTCCCTCGCTCAGCTTCTCATCCTGTTGTCAGTGTCAGATAAGCAAACTCTTAAAAACATCCACCGGCTTCCCCTCTGCCTGCCTGACCTCTACTAGTAGGCAACTCCCTTTTTCTGTCGCCTGCACTTCCACCCCTGGTTGTTTAAAACACACTGGTAACGCTGCTGTGCATAGAAGCTGCAGGAGGAAAATGAGTTGTGTCTGTCTGTCTGTACTGTATCACTGGCAACAACTCCTTCTTGTTGCTAAACCTCCTTACTATGTCTCTCTCCCTTCCTCTCCACTCTGTTCCTCCCTTTTGTATCTCCTCCCCTTTTCCTCTCTCTCTCTCGCTCTCTCTCTCTTTCTCGCCTCCCCCCACACACACTTATTTTTTTGCTTTTTTCCCCTATGCTATACTAAATGCCCAGCTGGTAAAGTCAGTTTATCTCTAATTGACTTTCCTGGCCACTAAGATCCGCCCAAATAGTGATGTCACTAAGACTGGCCCCAGTACATTGACAGGCTGTTATCTCTCTTTCTCTCTCCCACAAACAAACACACAAACACACACACACACACACACACACACACACACACACACACACACACACACAGAGACAAGGATGTACTCAAACATACATGCATGCAACCTGTTCCAGGTAACCCTGAGGTCAGCTCACAGACGCAGACTGATTATTTTCCACATTTTCTCCTTTAGCAAACTCACCTGCTGCTTTCCGTTGGCACCATTTTACGTTTTGGCCAACATGCTCGCAGTTCCTCGCTCGATCATTATAAATAGGAGACCCCATGACACAGAATAAAAGCAAGCAGATTCAGTTACAAGTCAAAGGTATGAATGGATGACTCATAACAGCTGCCATGAAATCACCTCAGATGAGTTTTGTGATTGGATGGAAGTAAATGTTGAGGTAAAAAAAAAAGGAAAAAGCTGTACTTCACCACTACGGGTGGAAGCAAGGTCCATCCGTCCTTCCAGCACAGAGCGGGTGGCGGGTTGAATTTGTATTCATGGGGTGGGCCCATGAGAAAACGTCTCTTTAGGATGCATCGTCTCACATATTAGATCTCATCTGGAGAATCACTTGCCCACGTCCCTGTGCTCCTCCTCTCTGTCCCCTCCACTTGCTCTTCCCGTCCACTCTCGTACAAACACACAAAAAACTCACCCACAGACCTCATTCATCCCGAGGCTGAGTAATTGTCCCAACTATACCCACACTCGCTCTGGTCTTGCAACACACACACACTTTCTTTGGGAAAATCTTTTATTAAATCATTGACCGTTTGGTTGTTGAAGAATTTCACAGTCACATCAATGAATGAATGTTCGACTGGGAGGTGTAGTGAGTACTGGGCATGACCCTCAGCTGGTGTTAAAACCCTCTTGTCAGCAAACTTCCACCATCAGACCTCGAGTAAAGCACAGAACTCCAAACATAGCCCACCATCACCTTCACTATCAGAAATAGCTCTACATTATGGGGAATCTGCTTATTTCCTTTCTTGCAGAGAGTTAAATGAGAAGATCAATACCACACTCATGTCTGTTTAGGAAGTGTGGAGCTGGAGCCATGGAGACAGTTTGCTTAGCTTAGCATAAAAACTAGAAGCAGGTGGAAACACCTAGGAAGCAACTGTCATTTTTATGTTACTGTTTGTTTATTTAAAAAAAGCAAGATATATTGTGTTAATTACTGAGGAATTGCAAGGCATATTTTTGAACTTTGGTCAGTGCTAATCATTTACGGGGTTGTAGCTTCATAATGCTCAGACACAACAATGGTATAATTTGTTTCATATAGCTTTTGGAAATACATTGAGTATGTGTACCCCCTTACATTTTTGTCAGTTGTCATCCTTTCAGTTTCAGCTCAGTATTTTGTGCAGGAGATCAAACCAAGAAGACAAATAAGCAAACATAGACACTGCTAAAACATAATGAGAATTTGTTGTTGTGGATTCTTTTCACAAACCCCTAAACGCACCGCCAGGGAGTGTTTTTCAGTAATTATGACCCCTGTTTGCAACTGCAATATCATGATAACATAAAGCAATACAAGCAATATAATGCTTACTCTGATGGATTGCATAACTCAAGCAAGTTTAGTCACTTCAAGTTGTTTTCATATTGTATGAGCTGAACATCTGCCTTGAATTTAATAAAATCTGCCTAGAAGAAATAATCAGCGGAAATGTAAAATATACACATTTTTTAAGGAATGGCTTAATGGCCCACAAGTGGGCCAGTCATTATGAACTCAAAAGATGAGCAGCCAAACTTTAGAACTTTAACTTTTTTAAACTCAAGTTTCCAATGATGTCAAATATGTTAGGTTAAATGTAGGGGAAACACATAAATGATGCAGAAGACATCCAAAATATCTTATCCCATATCACATACCTGGAACAAGCTGATAAAAAATGTGCTGTGTATGTGATTTTGTGACTTTAAGACAGTGGGGTAGCCTGTAAGATGAGTTTTCCAACCTTAAAGCTATACTTTAAGGGGTAAAAAATGACTCAAACATGGAAAGTTCACTAAAGTATGAGACCTTTAAGTATGAGATGTGTGAGGATTTCTTCTATAAAAATGGATAAAAGCCTATTGACAGTCAGGGTTCAGACATTATAGCTGAGCCACAGGTCTGGCTTCACCAAGTGTCTTCTCCAAATGAGCAGTAATTTCAGCCTCCAGGTTTCCCATCCTCTGGAAAAGCCGTCGGACGCCTGTCCCGCTGACTTCCGACGGGGGTGGAGAAAAACTTTTAAAGTAATACCTCACCGCCCTCTTAACAAGCCATCCTTCCGTCCTGCACCCCAGTGTTCCCACCTCCATACTGCTCCATCCCTCCATGGACACAGAGAGTGAGGCCCCGTCAGGAGAGGTGGAGAAGAAGGAGGATGTTTGGACTTTTTCCCGGTTCAACTACCTCTTTCCTTCTTTTGACTCTTTCAGCAAATTGTCGCACATAATTAATCATCGATCAGCATGGTCATCAGTCTTTCAGTGATGGTGGGAGGGAAAGCAGTAAATCAGGATAGACAGGTGACTTGGCCTCATAGCAAGAGCAGTAACAGCTGTAAACACACACACACACGCCCACTCAACTGTGTGAAGTAAATAATTCCAAGGTGATAATATGGGAATTTATGAGGCTCTTTATCCCTTCAACAAATGCACAGTCCACATTATATGTGCACAACACTCCATGAAACTGACAGTTGATTGTTGCTCAAAGGTAAATAAGTGTTGAAATAAAGTGAAATACTGTGTGAAGTTTACAATCATGTATGCATAAAGGGATATGTATGTGTTAAAGTCATCTGTCACTGCAATATCTATTGCAAAGTTTGAACTGCAGTTGTTGTTGAAATGTAAATGAGAAAAACATGTTTTTATGTCACAATTTATTGAACCTCATCAAAGAAGTCTCTGTAAAGCTGTAGTTGAAAACAACGTGTGAGTCTGAATGATTATATTATTAATCAGAGTAAGATCTCAGGACTCTGAGTTTAAAATTTTGCAGTTGCAGCAACTCTGATCTAACAGGGTGTAGACTCAAATGCGCCACTCACTGGCAGAACTGGTGGAGTAAATGTAAAGTGTACTGGGTCATTGACAATGTGATGAGAGAACTGGGATCAGGGAGACGGGTGGTGTTGAGGGCAGGTGATGACTGCCCTGGGGACTGCTGGACAGAAAAGGAATGCCAGGCTCAGAAATGACTGGAGTTGGTTAAAAATGTACACTGTTAACAGAGCAACACACAGAGAAATCGAAGTACAGGAATGGACCTAAAAAGGTACAAGTGCTTTGTCGCTCCGGCTGTACCCTAGCAGCTTATGAGGACTGTACCTTTGAAGTTGGTACATTTTTGTACCATCTTGTCTGTACCTCTAAAAGAACATTTCTGCACCCCTAGTGACAAAAATGTACCATTACATTTTATTGATTTAGCTGACACTTTCATCCAAAGCAACTTACAATTGCTATATATGTCAGAGGTCACACACCTCTGGAGCAATTAGGGGTCTTGCTTAGGGACACATTGGTGGATGTGTCACAGTGGGGATTGAACCAGGGTCTCTTACACCAACAGTATCTGTCTTATCCACTAAGCCATTGCCAAGCCTTTACGTACAGGGGGTGTGGAATCACTGATTTTCTGCATCATTTGCCTGTACCTTAAGCTTGTTAAAGGTACAGTAATGTACCCTTTGCTGTCAGCAATGATTCTGTACCTTTAAAAATAGAGACAAATAAAGACCCACGGTTAACACCTTAAGGATAATTTCCGTACCTTACACGGTACTTTTTTGACAAATGTACCTTTAGGGAACAGAAATGATACCCCTATTTCTCTGTGTGAAGATACAAAAAAGATTGGGTTGTATCAGCATTGGTACTCAAAGCTGTGGTTGGCAATTTATTTGTTGTATTTGTTGAAATTCACTTTATATCTTAACAGCAATCAATAAATCAAATGCTGTGACAGAAAAATGAAAAGAAATCTGGTATCTGTGGCTGTCGCAGGACTGTAATGAGCTGGCCTGCCTACCTGCATACCTACTGACCTGCGCACAACGCTTGTGCACTACCTGCCCATCAACAAACGGCAGGCACACAATGTTAGCAACTAGCTAATGATAAAAGTGGAATATTTAGCTGCTAAAGAGACAGATATTTCCCAGAGGAGAGAGACACAACTGAATATAAAAGCTAGTGCACTTTTGCCAAATTAACTTTATATATGTTTTTCAGTCAAATACTTACGCCCCACAGGTTTAAACAGAAAGTTTGTCCTTCACAGAGAACAGCAGCTGTGGTCAGCTTGAATTCATGTTGGCATGACCATGGGTTTCAATCCTGACAATTTTTAATATTCACAAACTACCATGTGTACCATACAAACCTCCATAGTCACTTTTGAAACCAGTGTTTTGAAAAGTGTGAACGGAGAGACGTGGTGCAGCTGCTATTCTCATGAATGAGTTGGGGCAGCACAAT